GCTGCTTCTGGGATTCAAAAGGAATGCTGTACTACGAACTGCTCAAGCAAGGCCACACCGTCACCGCTCCCTATTACGCTGGTCAGCTGCAGAAACTTGCGGAAGCCGTTCGAGAAAAACGGCCTAGACGAACTTTTGTGCACCTCCTCCATGACAACGCTAGGCCTCACATAGGTAAAGAGACCCGTGCAAAATTGGAGGAGCTAGGCTGGGACACGGTTCCACATCCACCCTATTCACCTGATATTGCCCCTCAGATTACCACTTGTTCCGGCCCCTCAAGGCTTTCCTAGCAAAAAAACGATTCGTCAACTATGACCACCTTGAACAAGTGGTCGGTGACTTCTTTGACTCCCAAGTTCTGGGAGAAGGGAATCGCTGACCTGCCCGTTAGGTGGGACAATGTTATGACTAACGATGGTTATTATATTGTTGATTAGCTTGCATTGTTTGCTGAGTTGTAAAATAAAACAGGAAAAAATCTCAACCCTATCAAAACTTTTTGATCAACCTAATATATAACCCTCCTTGTCTCCTGTACTCTCCCAAAACACTTGCGGCTGGGGCCGATCCATAGTGAAGTTCATAGTCTGCCGCGCCAACGGCATCATCGCGCGTCGTTGGCGCGGCAGACTCCAACGATGTCTGAACGTGACCAGTGTACCATTCCGTATCTCAGATATAGAGAAGGCGTGGCCGCATATTCTACTTGAATACCGCGCAGCATGTGTTTTACGCGGAATATTGCTTCTTGAGGCAGCTGTCATCTTGCATTGTACTGCTTAGAGGCACAATTATAGTTGGCTCGAATAGTAACACCCCTACAAGGGCGTAACCACCTATACACTCGAGTGGAACGCCGCCACGCCCTCCCCATCTGCGGGATATAGACTATAAGAAGTGTTCGTGTTTAAAGGCAGTTGGCACGATGGTTTCCTACTTAGCCTAAAATGCTAGTAGGGCGCTGTATAGTGGGGAAATGGCGAAAGAACGGAGTGAAACGGTCAAAATCCTGCGAAGAAAAAGCCTCCGTTCTCAGTGACTTGTAAATCGATTTCGGACGAGTTTCCCGTAGGCATCTTACCAATCACCGCTACCGGCTGCATATGTGTACCCATGTATGCATGCAGCATCACGGCCGCTTCATACCAATCCCTTCGCTTCATAATTTGCTTAGCAAATGAATGAATACGTCAGGAACGGTCGTCCATTTGTGGGCGGGCGGGCGTGGCGGGCGTTTGGGACGTAAAGTTGTGGCTTGATAGGGCCCTTATAAGGGCACCTTCCTCGGGGAAACCGCTATGCAGCGCCTGCCCAGGGTCGCGGAATTCTATCCTGCCAGGAGTATTGATCCTAGTCGTCTTGGGGGATTTATCGTGCCAACTGCCTTTAATAGAAATGTGCAACACTCTTTCGTCGCTCGTTTATGATTAAAGAAGGAGTGCGCATCTCTTTGTAGAGGAATTGTTTAAGGCTAGTAGTACCTAATCCTACACCACACATATTCACACTTACCGACCCGCTATCAGGGTCATAGAATCGGAGCAACAATGCCGTGAGAGTACTCTTGCCTGAACCACTGGAGCCGACTAGAGCTACCTTTTCACCAGCTTCAACGGAGAACGTTATTCCCTTGAGAACCTGGAATACAACAGAACCTTAGTCAGCTAACGTACCGAAAAACAGGTACAGTTGATATGGTTGGAATCGAGTCCACTTCAGGCTGCGTTTTCCACCAATAGTGGTTGGTTTAGGAAGAAAACAATCACAGGTAAAATGCACCGCGGGTGGGCTCATGCTGAGCCTTCTGACATCGGCTCGAGTGTTTCGACGATATCAACTGTACTGCCAGCGCCTATCGGAGAATATCGGGACTACGTCTTCAGTAATCACTGAGACAACCGGACTGTAACCAGTTGTCCCACTTATCTTTGAATTTCCATCATTGCTAGATGTGGTGGTACCTTATAATGAACACCACTTCATATTTACCTCAACATCTGGTCTGCTGGGATAGCTGAAGTGTATGTCACGAAAATGGATAGCTCCTTTTCCTAAAACGGAGATGTAACGAAGTTGTCAGAAACGGTTTACTAAATTAGAAATAGTTGACAAGTCCTGTACCCATATACTTCATGCTTTGGCGGCGGTATTTTGGGCCCGGTAGACACTGCCGAGGATTGTCTCCAGCAAAACCGTAGTCGCGTTCGATTTGAGGAGACTCGTCTATAAGACAATCGTTTGTGATACAAAACGGTATCATACAAAATTCATTCGGCAGAATAGGCCTTACCCAAGATATCTCGCAATCGTGATGCGCTCTGACGAGCTGTTGCCGCTCCATTGATGTGAAATCCAATAGAGATCGATGTTACACACATGTAAAGCATGTTAATGGCAAGCTGTAAGTTATTTTTTACGGAAACCCTTTCATAAAATCTCTTGATTTAGTGATTGTGTGACGTCATCAAAAAGACACTGAAGCTTTTCCGATGGTTCTGGTACTCCTTGTCAACCAAGATCTAGCTCCTTCGCCAACGTCGGGAGCTTATTTGATACTACATGGCGTTGTTGAGCTGGGCCACCCGGCAGCGCCTCTGTGTCACTTCCCCTAACCAAGGCTTAGGCAGCGTTCAACTTCGCGATGACGTATTTCAACGCGCTGTAACACGCTTTGACGCGCAACCACTGCAAGGGCGCTCCAGTGCTTAGACGCGAA